CTCGGAGGTGGTGTCATGTAAATGTCTTGCTCTAAATCACCCTGTAAAAATGCGTTTCTCACATCCATCTGCCATAAATTCCAAGATAAATTAGTTGCTAAAGACAAAATGACACGAAATGATTTAAGGTTAGCAACGGGAGCAAAGGTACCGGTATAGTCTTCTCCGTATGTTTGAGTAAACCCTTTTGCGACTAGGCGCGCTTTATATCGTTCTATATCCCCGTTGCTCTTGTATTTGATTTTGTAAACCCATTTGCTTCCAACAGCTTTCTTGTCTTTTGGTAGGCTCGTGACTATCCATGTATTGTTTCGTTCGAGTGCGTCGATTTCTTCTTGCATGGCATCTCTCCAAACTTGGTGTTGGTTTGCCTTGTCAAATGTGGATGGTTCTATCCCCTGGTCAATTTTACTGAGAAAAGCAATCTCGTGAGTGGGTAAATGATCAATAGAGTAACAATATTGTATAGGATATTTAACTGGATAGTCAAGATAGTGTGGTTCTCCCTATTTGGTGTTTGACCGAGAAACCTCCTGTGTGTGAGAAGCTTGTTCTCTGTATCGTGGGGGTGGTTGAATGTTACGTCTTGGTCTGTCACGAGCAAGTATATAGTGCTGCATTTCGGCGGGAGACGGATCAGGTTCGGTGGTGACTCGAGCTGGGCCGGATTCTGTGTCATGTCGAGGCAACACCGGGACAGTTTCAGGTTCCGCTCCGACTCGGACGGAATCGGGGTCCGCTTCTGATTCCGTTGTTCTTCGAGTTTGGTCTTCTTGAATGTCTGTGTCCTGCACAAGATCGATATTACCTGGTGAAGTGAGGTCGAGTTCCCCTTGCTGATTGCTTATGGCTTCTGGTTGTGATAGAGTAGCAGGAGAATTATGCTCCGTATGTGGCTCGCTGCTTCGTTCAGAATCAAAACTCAAGGGAGAAGTCAACGTTGCAGTTTCACGAGCAAGCTCTAAAAGATGACGGACTGATGTTTGAAGATTGGCGGATGTAGGAGACAAATCATCTAGGGATTCTTGTTGCTTGCTCAGGAAGTAAGGTTGTTCCTCTTCAAAGATGACGTCCCTTGAAGTATATAAATGTCGACTAGGAGGATGGTAACACTTATAGCCTTTTTGACCCGATGGATAACCAAGAAAGACGCATTTTGTACTTTTCGGATCTAACTTGGTTCGTGTTCCATCTGCAATCAAAGGGTAGCACACACATCCAAAAACTCGTAAGTGTGAAATCGAATCTTGAGAGTTACGTAGTACCTCGAATGGAGATTTATCATTCAACACTTTTGTTGGTAATCGATTAATGATGTAGCATGCAAGTGTGACAGCATCTCCCCAATAAGACTTAGGCACATTTCGGTGAAAAAGGAGTGTCCGAGCCACTTCAATCAAATGTCGGTTTTTGCGTTCGGCGACACCATTTTGTTGAGGCGTATATGGGCATGATCTTTGATGAACGACACCATTGACGGCCAAGAAATCTGAAAATTGCTTACTCATATATTCTCCTCTGCTGTCCGTTCTTAACGTCTTGACCTTGCACTCAAAATGATTAGAAACATATGCAAAGAAACGTTTAAAGGCATCGAATACACCACTCTTGTTCGGAAGAAGATAAATCCATGTGTACTTGGACTTTTCATCAATAAACGAGACAAAATACTTATTTTGATCCCGGGAAAATACGGGAGATGTCCAAACATCCGAGTGCACCAAATCAAAATAATGTTCATACGTAGTAGTAGAATTTGGAAAAACGCTATGACAATGTTTGCCTAAGACACAAGCCTCACAAAAAATGTTATCGAAACTCGAATTAGGAACAAGCATCTTTAGCACTTTGTGATGGGGATGTCCAAGTCTTGCATGCCATATTGAAGAGAAAGCAAATTCGGAAGAAAAAATAGGCTCTTCAAGGAGATATAAGTTGTCCCTTTTGAAGCCTTTTCCAAGTGTAGTGCCAGTTTTAGTATCCTGAAAGACAACATTGTTAGAATCGAAAATAACCGAACAATCTATTTGCTGGGTTAGTGCAGGAATTGAAAGTAAGTTGGTTTTAAAATCTGGAACATGATAAGCCGGTACGGTTTTATCGAACACACACAAATCACCTTGGCCAAGAATTGGTACATGCTTTCCATTAGTTACTGATACTAATCCTTTTAAACGCTTAATATTACTTAGTAAATCCGAATCACTTATCATATGACTTGTTGCACCCGAGTCAATAATAAGTGATTTTCGAAGTAATTTAGTGCAAGAAGAAACGTTACCGGACTCCTTGTCTTTCATGGCAAGGAGGAGTTGTTTGAATCCTTGAATCTCATCCGAGGTGAAGCTCATTGTGGTTGTTGCCGTCATTGCTTGTCCTCGGTTGTTCGGAGCATCACGGTACCTAGCCGGCTTGAGATGCGGGTGAAGAACCCAGCACTTGTCACGCACATGACCGGATCGCTTGCAGTGATCGCACATCAGCCCTCTTCGGTCTCCATCTCGGTCACGAGAACGGTCTGAATCTCGACTTCGGTCTCGGTTGTTGGCGTGACTAGGAGAATATGGGCCTTTCCGAAAATGGGCCATCTCGCTAGTTCCTGGAAAAAGTTTACGTCCACCTTCTTCTCGTTTTATCATCATACATACCTCGTCATATTTGGGCAGTCGTTCTTGACGGAGTATGTGGTAGATTAACTCATTGTAAGATCCATCCAAGGTAAGGAGAATAGAGAAAACCTTGTCTTCCTCCAACCTGTCTTTGAAAGCCTTGAGATCCACGGTGGGAGGACGTAATTCTTCCAATTCTGTCCATAATGCGCTGAATTCGCCGTGGATGATATTGAACGACTTCCCATCCTGCTGCAGATTAAACATTCTTTTCTTAAGTTAAAATATGCGACATAGATTCGTCACATTACCGTAAACACTTTGTAGGGCCTCCCACAACTCCTTTGCTGTTTCTGGAGCTATGAAAGACTTGAGAATATTGGAGTCCAATGAGCTTTGAAGGATTGCCAAAGCGAGACTATCTTCTTGAACCCACTTGCTGTTTTCAGCACCTTGACGTGCGACTGATTCGATGTTTTCAGTCCGATTGGCGTCCGCTTCAGCATCCGCCTCTTGGTTCTCGTCCAAATTTGGCGTGGCTTGAGTTTTGGTGATGTGATCCCAAAGGCCACGGCTTTTCAGGACGGCCTTAGCAGCTTTCGACCAATAGAAGTAGTTCTCTCCCGCTAGTGTGACGGGGATCAGCTTCGCGGCAACACTTTCCATTGCTTGAGGCGAAGATCAAAGAGAGTTTGGTTTAAGAGTTTAGAACAGATCTGTTTGAGAGAACTTCGGTATTCTTAGCCAACCAGGCTCTGATACCATATAAAAGTCTCAAGAAGAAAGGATTAGAAGAACCGAAATCAGCTATAGACTTTGGTATTGATCAACGCAGAGAGTTTCAGATGAAGAGGAAGGACCAGAAAAGAATACTCAAATGTTTGTTCTACGTTACTCTGTACAATGAATATTCACTCATATATTGAGTGAGAAGAGAAAATAAAACAAAAGGAAACTAAAGATCTGTACACAAGAATATGGAAGGTGCGTGTAAGGAGAATGGAAAGGTTCCATTCGCATATTGATTTCCACGATTCATTCCTTTCCATGGCAACGTTCACTTCAGCAAATCTCTCCTTAATTTTCCTTATGGTCATTACGTAGATTATGCTCCAATATGTTTTGTCTTTTAGTTTCTTGCAGCTGAAGTTACCGAGAGTTACCGTCATGAGTGCATCGGGTTTGGGTCTTCGAGTCTTGACTTGATGTTCGTTCCTTCGTCTTCCTCAACATTCCCCCTATCAAATGGGTAAGATTAGTCCTTCGTCTTCCTCAACAACTCATCTATCAAAGATGTAAGATTAGTGAGTGCTAATCTATGTAACTTTCACGGACTCTAGTTATATCATAATCAGTCCAATCAATCGTAAAAACATGTTTAGAGTGCATTAAATATATATCCAAAGGACTCGAGGAATATCTATTAAATATGTTTGTAGCATTTTATAAATCATACGTTCCTATAAAGTTGTTTCTTCATGTTACATCGAACCAAAATGTAATTGTAAGATATTAGAGTGCTATATAACTCTAAACATGCCAGAACTGATCACCGCGATGTCGGGGCCATCACGTAGTATTGTACAATATTTAGCATATAATATATTATAAATATGTTTGAACGCACTTACATCATGTTTATAAACTCCTATATATAGGAGTTCAATAGTAGAAATCATTCGAATATGGTATACCGATATCATACGATTTACAATCGTATATTACTTTATACAAAACCCGTGAGGTTTATGTGTCACTAAGATTTATAGATTACGTAATATCTAATTAATCAAGTTATTACGTATTACAAGGTAAAGCAGACTAATTTGACGTTTGTTGTACGATGTCATTGTAGGACTACTGATGTACATACTGTTGAGCCAATTGAACATTATCGACATGCTCAAACTCGGACGCAATCTCACATCACTCACCCATGTGTCGAACAAGCTCAATTCAGCAGCAACGATCACTTGGACGAAGGTGGACTGGACTATGGATCAGAATGGTTCAGCCCATGGGCTGATGTTGGGCTGCACATACCGTTGAGTGATTGAAGAATCAAAGGGGAAGAAATTGGCAACAAGATATCTGAACTTTCCATTTTATTATATATTACATTATTGTGAGATACACTTTCTATTTTAATTTCCATGATTGTATCGTCTGTAGCTCTTCATATAGAGCTGAAGATTTTAGTCTGCAAAATACAGAACAAGGAGAAATAATCTCCAATGAACCTTTTACTCTCCTGCTTTTAATCTTCCTCGATACATATCAACCACCCAATCTTAAATTCTTTCATGGTATCAGAGCTTCAGGGCACAATACCGAATCTCCTTCTCTTTTTTTCAGTTTGACCTGATTCTCACTACCCAATCTTCTGCAACTATGGAGATCTCACTCCCAAAAATAATTCCAATTGTCTTCGATGGCAAAAACTACCTTATATGGTCCAAGGCTGCTCGCACAACACTTATTGGAAAAGGATTGTGGAGTCATGTCCTTCACAGCCATGACCCGACACCAACCTCAACCGGACAGAGCACACACAACTCGACAGCCGATGCACCGACACCAACAGCTCCGCCCGATCCCAGAGAAAGCAAGTGGTTTCAGGAAGACCAACAAGCTCTGGCGATTATACAGAGCTCTCTCGCGCCACATATACTCAACAATTACATATACTGCGAGACAACAAAAGCTATATGGGATAAGCTTAAGCTCGTGTACGGCAACCTGTCTAATATGAGCCGAATTTACGAAATTCGGAAAACTCTCTTTGGCATTCAGCAAGGTGGTCGGCCCTTTGACACGTGCCTCGGAGAAATCACCAGCTTGTGGGCAGAGTATGAACAACTCAGACCCGACACATCAGATGCAAAAACCATAGCCGATCGGAAAGAGCAGGACAAGGTATTTTCGATTCTTGCTTGTTTAGATGGGACTTACAACGACCTTGTCTATCATGTTCTTAGACAAGAAAAGATACCTTCCATGGATGAAGTATGTATGCTCATCCAAAGAGAAGAAGGCAGCATTCAGCAAGCAATGAAGAAGCCAACATGTCTCGAAAGAACTTTCATTCTCGATTCAACAGAGATAACCATCATGTGGTCTGCGAACACTGTAAGAAAAATGGTCATGATAAAACAAAGTGTTGGTTCTTGCACCCACACTTGAAACCCCAACAATTCCGAGGTCGCGACTCCCGCAATAAGGCTGCTGCTCTGCTCACTAACGACAACGTTGAGGCACTTATTCAAGCCCTCCAAACGATGAGCAAAGACAATGGTATTGATTTCCTTAACTCTATCGTCATTGATTCCGGTGCCACGAATCACATGTTTGCAAAATCTGATTGGTTTACAAATCTGCAGAAAAAGCTAGGCTTTGTTTCAGTTGCAAATGGTGATAAACTTCCTATTGCTGGGCATGGTTCTGTACAATTATTTGATAAACAAATCGATGCTCTTTATGTGCCAAAACTGAAAACCAATTTGCTATCTATACCGAAACTTACTAAAGATTTGGATTGTTCTGTCACTTTCGATACTAATGAAGTTCGATTTCAGGATACTAATACTCGGAGCACTTTCGGGAAAGGCATTCTACACAACAATCTATATCTACTTGATGCTCCCAACTCTTGTTCCGACACAGCTTTTAGCGTCCTTTGGCATGCTAGATTAGGACATCCTCATAATAAAGCCTTAAAAAAATTGTTTCCTAATGTTTCGTATGACAATAAGACTTGCGATGCTTGCATTTTCGGTAAACACTGTCATTCGGTATTTCCTCAATCACAAACCGTTTATCAACATTGCTTTGATTTAGTGCATTCCGATGTATGGACGGCTCCTTGCTTCTCTCGTGAAAAACATAAATATTTCGTGTCTTTTATTGATGAAAAATCTAAATATACTTGGATCACATTGCTTGGATCGAAAAGTGAGGTCTTTAAGGCATTTAAAAATTTTTCTGCTTATGTTACTAACCATTATCAAACGAGTATCAAGTTTCTTAGAACAGATAATGGCGGAGAATTCATGACCTCGACATTTACCGATTATCTTCATCACCACGGCATCGTCCATCAAACTTCTTGCCCATACACGCCGCAACAAAACGGTGTGGCCGAACGCAAGAACCGTCACTTGTTAGAGGTTGCTCGAACCTTGATGTTTTACCGGAATGTGCCTTTGAAATTTTGGGGAGATGCGGTGACCACTGCGGCATTTCTGATCAATCGTCTCCCGACGAAAATATTGCATGATAGAACACCGTTCGAGGTACTAAACAACACTCCTGCGTCTCTTGAATATTTACGTGTATTTGGCTGTGTTTGTTTTGCAAAGGTACCCGATAGCAAACGACACAAACTTCAACCTAAAAGCTCCAAGTGCATGTTTATCGGCTATTCGTCATCGCAAAAAGGATATAAATGCTATGATCCTATCCAAGACCGTGTACAAGTCTCGTGATGTTATTTTCCACGAGGATCGCAGTTACTTTAGTCCCCAAACCGCCTCCACTCTCGACCCTATGCTGCAGATTCCGGCGAATTACAAAGACACACTTTCCCGTCTTTTACGGCTTGCTCACGATTTTAATGAGACCCATGGCACTCGCACTGACCGAACCTTACTTCGTTCCTCCAGCTCTGGTAACATCGTTTCCCCTCCCTGTGCAACTATGTCTCCTGAAACTTTTGATTCTTCGCATGATGTACCTGTGCAGGACCAAAACGAGACAAGTGTCGAGCCTTTGCATGAGAGACACAACAGCCATGTTCCTTCTACCTCTATTGTTCCTAACTATTCCTCATCAACATTGTCTCCTGTGTCGACCCATGAACAACCCGCTGCCGAACATGCCGACATAAATACCGACACACGAGCCCCGCCACCTGCCGAAAACAGCGATAAATTCAACTCCATGGGAAATACATCGCCTCCGCTTCCAGCTCCACTCGAAGACCTTCGGGGAAGCACAACAGCAGCTGATGGAGTTCGCCGTAGTGCGCGGATTCAAGAAAAAATAGCGAAGCGTGCGCAACAAGGAACCACTGCCATGCATTGTTCTTCTGTTACTTATCCCATACAGGATTTTTGCACCTATTCTAATGTGTCTTCTGATGAATTCTTGTTTCTCAGTCAACTAGATAGACACGTGGAGCCAAAATCTTATCGGCATGCAAAAGACGTCCATGTGTGGCAGGTTGCAATGCAAGAGGAATTGGATGCCTTGGAACGCAATCAGACTTGGACAATTGTTGACCATCCGCCAAACCAACACGCCATCGGTAGCAAGTGGATATATAAAATCAAATATCGGAGTAATGGTGATATCGAACGTCACAAAGCCCGCCTTGTCGCGCAAGGCTACACTCAAACCTACGGCGAAAACTACACCGACACCTTTGCTCCGGTGGCCAAATTGCCGACGGTTCGTGTTATTTTATCTCTTGCTACTAACTTTGACTGGTCTTTGTGGCAGATGGATGTAAAAAATGCCTTCCTCCAAGGCGATTTAGACGAAGAAATATATATGGTTCCTCCGCCGGGCTATCGTGAAAAACTCGGTCCTAACAAAGTCTGTAAACTTCGCAAGTCTCTGTATGGTCTCAAACAATCACCGCGTGCGTCGTATTCCAAGCTCAATACGGCTCTTGCTACACATGCCTTCTCCCGCAGTGAATCCGATCATTCATTATTCATCAAGAAAACATCATCGGGTATAATCGTTCTACTAATCTACGTTGATGATATTATTATTACTGGGAATGATACTGTTGGCATCGCAGACACAAAGCGGTTTCTTCATAACACATTTGAGATAAAGGATCTGGGAGAACTCAAATACTTCCTTGGCATTGAAGTCCTTCGTTCTCCGACCGGCATCTTCCTCTCACAACGCAAATATATCCTCGATCTCCTTCAAGAAACAGGAAAACTCGGAGCTAAACCCGCCAAGACGCCATTGGAAGATAACTACAAGGAACAACGCGAGGGGGAATTATACGCGGATGATGAACAATATCGTCGCGTTGTCGGTAAGTTAATTTACCTTACCATAACTCGTCCTGATTTATGTTTCCCCGTAAAACAGGTTAGCCAATGGATGCATGCGCCAACAATCCATCACTGGAGAATGGTGGAGCGAATCCTCAAGTATCTCAAAGGAACTCCAGAAAAAGGCATTTGGATGACCCGCAACAATCATGTCAATCTCGTAGCATATTGTGATGCAGATTGGGCGGGAGACAGAACAGACCGAAAATCGACAACGGGATATTGCACGTTTCTTGGAGGCAACTTGGTGACGTGGAAAAGCAAAAAACAACAAGTGGTGGCACGTTCTAGCGCGGAAGCAGAGTACAGGGCTATGGCAAACACGGCATGCGAGATTATGTGGCTTAAAGCTCTACTTCAAGACCTCGACATTTCAACGAATCAACCAGTGACACTCCATTGTGACAGTCATGCTGCTATGCATATTGCTCAAAACCCGGTGTTTCATGAGAGGACCAAGCATATTGAAGTTGACTGTCACTTTGTTCGAGAGAAAATATCACAAGGGATCATCACAACATCCTACACGAAGAGTAATGATCAATTGGCCGATATTTTCACAAAGGCATCGAATTTGAAAGTATTCAACAATTCTCTTTCCAAGATTGGTGTCATTGATCTCCCCGAACCAATCTTGAGGGGGAATGTTGAGCCAATTGAACATTATCGACATGCTCAAACTCGGACGCAATCTCACATCACTCACCCATGTGTCGAACAAGCTCAATTCAGCAGCAACGATCACTTGGACGAAGGTGGACTGGACTATGGATCAGAATGGTTCAGCCCATGGGCTGATGTTGGGCTGCACATACCGTTGAGTGATTGAAGAATCAAAGGGGAAGAAATTGGCAACAAGATATCTGAACTTTCCATTTTATTATATATTACATTATTGTGAGATACACTTTCTATTTTAATTTCCATGATTGTATCGTCTGTAGCTCTTCATATAGAGCTGAAGATTTTAGTCTGCAAAATACAGAACAAGGAGAAATAATCTCCAATGAACCTTTTACTCTCCTGCTTTTAATCTTCCTCGATACATATCAACCACCCAATCTTAAATTCTTTCACATACATATATGGGTAACCAAGCGGGCATGTATAGATGAGTAATAATAATAGGTTTTATAAATAAAAATGAGTGCATACAAAACTACTGATGTACATACATAATTTTGTAACCAGTGCACTCTAACAAATCATGGGTAGACAAAACATGTACATATAGTTTATGCTACAAGCGTGCATAAAACATGTTATTTTAGTACATCACATCTTTATATTTATGCAAATATAAATAATGCAGTTTGTAGAACTTATATACTATGTATAAAACGGTACATTCTAAACGTTTAATATAGAACCACTATTTCTCCATCTTGTCTCACATATAACTTGTAAACTAGAGTCTACAACATATAATGTTTGGATGTACATTTATATGGTAAAACATTTTCCTACAATATGTTTAGTTTTATATATAAAATACATTAATGTTTAACATATATAATATATGTTAATTTTGCAAACTAATTTATGCATACCGTTTAGATATTTTTATATGTATGTATTATGAGTATAATCGTGGTAAATATTACACATTCTAAGTTCATAAACTTAGAGTTGTTTTACAAATGTAATAATATGACGCACATGTTGTAAATACATGTTTAGATAGATTTAGTGCATCAAATCCACTTGTATAGTGCATAAACCGTGATATGGGTATATGTATTATATACCCATACGATTATGGAGTGGTATACCTAATTATGTGTATAGCACTATTATGTAGTCACTAAATATGGGTCATATATCTAAAAAACTGATATAAATGACGCGTAGTCATTTATAGTCCGTTTGTAAATAACATTATAGATTGACGCACTATTGCACAAAATATTTATATGTATAACCATACGCACTTGATACCTTAGTGCTATAAATGTTATATTTGTCTACATTTTAGACAACATAGATCATGGTATTAACGTTTGGGTATGCTTACACAGACGATATGTTTGTACATACTATATCATTTTTATATGTTGTATACTAGTGTAATATCGGGGTAGTAAATGCATTTGTGTAATACCAATTACGTTAGTATATGAGTAATAGTTGTTATATACTATTTTTATAACTTATGTACAGTATTTACGTAGATTGTACAGATATAATAACTATGTTTATATAACTGTGTAAATGTTAAATCTATATTATATCATGCACTCTAAACATGTTTGGTAGTGGGTAAATTGAAACATGAAGATGGGTAAGTGATGCAAACATTTATACCACACCAGGTACACCGAGCACGAAGACATCATCAGTTCCAATAGAATGCATATAACATGTTTAGAGTGCAATATTAAGTTTTATGCGTTCAAACATCTATAAAATTTTATGATGTACATTAAACACTCTTACGATTGGTAATATCTTAATCAGTCATGTTTAAATATCATTATTTACAACTATCATTTAGAGTAACACCAAATTTCTTTATGTATAAAATGTCTGATTCGATGCCATGTCTCATATGTTTTAAACATATATACATCATAATATCTTAGAGTTATATGACGCATAGGGAGTAAATATATAAAATGTTTAAACATGGTTTATGCACTCTAAATCCATAACATATGGATTACATTGACTACGTGTTTTATATAAATTATACATGTACACCGTGCACTCTATCATAATCATATGTCTATATAACTTAATCAGTCATGCTACAAACGTTATACAAACCCGTGTTATACTATTAATATACCCATATATATTGTCTTTAGTTAATATAATCGCTTTAAATATATGTATTTTTGTGGTTTAAACATATTATTGATAAACTTGTAGCTACCATACTAAATTTAGACATTATATCTATACATAGAGTGTATTTGAACGTGCATTTTCTCTGTAATTGCATCTAAAATATATGTGGTTTGAGATGGTACATCCCGTAATAAACATGATGATTTTGTCTAAACATAAACTTATTTAGTAATCAAGTTCGATTGTAGCATCACTTACCCATCTTCATGTTTCAATTTACCCACTACCAAACATGTTTAGAGTGCATGAAAACATTTTTAGAGTGCATCAAAACATGTTTAAAGTGCGTGACGTATTTATTGGAGTGTATATGTACATACACATATATATAATACACAACATGACGTATTTATATATATCTCATATGTAACCAAACATGAGTGCATGTATATATTAAATGTATAAGTACATATATGTAACATGGTTATGATTTAAACTATATGCACATTTTATACATAAATTATTACCAATTGTTTCTACAAGAGTGCATCAACCATATTCGATATTAGATCATATGCACATTTAAACATACCATATTATTTATAGTAATACATTATACTTATAATTATATATTGTTTATATAAACATGTTTATGCACTCTAAGAGTGCATCTAATAAATATTTCGGGATATTTAGAGTTCGTCGAAACATGCTACAAACGTAAAAACATACTATTGTAGCCTATCCACGACATTATCAAAATGTTTTAATGCGCTCAATCATTCCGCAAAACATGTGCTACAATAACATGTATAAACATGTTTAGAGAGTGCATATCTAACATTTAGACAAACATGTTTATCCAATCGGAGGAGGGCCCCTACTGCACTCCTACAGTCTCTTTCATTAGGCCACGCTTTCACGGTTAATGATGCTACAAACGTAAAACCATGCTTTAGTGTATTGCAATCTATTCCATATATGGGTAATATGTAACAGTGAATACTATTTAGGTTATGTACATAAACATGTTTAAACATGTTTAAACATATTTTATATAATACTACCATATATGGTATGCCATATGATCCAAATCCATAATTAATCAAACAATGATATACATAAAATATTATATACCCTATGTAATCAATGTTTTAACAAATTAAGAGTTTATATAAAAAACATGTGATGTTTTGGTATATCCATTGTCTTGTGAGCGTTTCAATTTATACCCAGAACCATTGTTTGATATTTGTGGTATACATGTTTTGATGCACCTTTATACAATATCACTCTATAACATAAGTTATATAGCATGGATTTCTTGTTATAAATATGGTAATTTACGTGCTATACATATTTATCTAAATTGTAGCATGACTGATTAAGTCCGTGATCATTTTATAGTACCGTTTGTCATAAATATAATCGTAATACAATCGGGGTATGTGCATCAAACAATGTTTTAATATCTAAATTATGTAGAATACATACCCCGTACTATCGAAATTTAACCATTATAATTTTGATACATAATTAGAGATTATGTTTATACATAGTATATAAGTATCCTACTGTATAAAATATGTTTGACATATAATCAATATGTATAAACCATATCAAAACATAACTTATGTCCAAAAATTATGTTTGAAATGCCTTTCTTTATTGTATATATTTGTTCGTATAGCTAAATTTAACCGTGTACTTTAAACATAATCTGGTATACTAAAACATAGATTATGTATAACAATCATACTTTTAGATGAAAATATCATATATATTTAAAGATCATATACCGCATGATATCGTATACCATATGATATCCACGTATGTGTTGACGCATAGGTTTAGTGCGCTAAACCATATCAATATGCACTCTAATCTATACGAGTGCTACTCTAGTGATGTTATATGTTTAACTAGTTTTGTAAAACGGTTTTTAAATATATAAAATGTTATATGTTTGTAAATTACCCTTTTTGGATGCGCTCTATCCAAAAATCATGATTATTAAAATATTTCTAAAATGTATAGCAAACATTTTATAAATATCCCGTGGTTTAAACCGTTTTAAGTGTATATCTGTAATCATTTTATTATATAAATTATGTATTGATATTATAGTATGATACAATGGACAATACACGGTTATGTCCGTTTGTCTGTGATTATACATACCATATTGTTTATAGTAATACATTATAGTTAAATGGCATTTTTACATATAAACCACAATTTCAAAAAATTTGTAAATACCCCGGATGATATGGGTACATAAAACAAACGTAAAAACATACTATTGTAGCCTATCCACGACATTATCAAAATGTTTTAATGCGCTCAACCATTCCGCAAAACATGGGCTACAATAACATGTATAAACATGTTTAGAGAGTGCATATCTAACATTTAGACAAACATGTTTATCCAATCGGAGGAGGGCCCCTACTGCACTCCTACAGTCTCTTTCATTAGGCCACGCTTTCACGGTTAATGATGCTACAAACGTAAAACCGAAGGGTTCTTGAAGCTTGGAGCAACTCAACGAACCAGGGTTCACAAATGCTCTGTTTGTCCCAAAAGTTGAAAAGGCTAAAGGTTGGGTTAAGGGAGTTGAACCGTCTCGCTTTTAGTAATATTCAAGCAAGGACAAAACAAGCTTTCGAGGCACTTAAGGCAGCACAACACATGCTTCTAGAGAGGCCTACCCTTGAGGCAGCACAAATAGAAGCGGAGCTGAGATCTGAATGGGCTCGTCTATCAGGGGCGGAGGAAACATTTTTTAAGCAGAAGTCTAGACTTCGTTGGTTGTCAGAGGGAGATCAGAATACTAAATTCTTTCATCGGGTTGTTGTTTCTCGTCAATCGACTAATGCCATCCGCTCTCTTGTGACTGATGCAGGGGTTCGGGTCTTTGAAGAGAGCGAACTTAAGCGCATGGTGATTGGTTATTACAAGCAGATTCTGGGCTCGACAGATGCAAATCTGGTTTGTTGGCAACCTCGACAGCTTAGGGAACTCTTACCATCCCGTTGT